AAACCAAATTAAACCCCAGTACATCAATTACACTGATCAGTGGTATACTTCCATAAGGGGAAAACATATCTTATGAATTCCCTTTACAGTCAACAAATTAGTAAGACATTCTGGAGGCAGTTTGAAATACCTAGCTAGGTACTACACATATGCTCTGCAGAGATTTTGCTGAGCATATAAGGAACAAAAATTAAACTGTGGAAACTGTTTCCACTCCTCTTCCTCACTCAGTATACTCTGAGATAGACAAATAGTGTTTATTTGTTATTAATATTGCAAACAGAAAAAATAAGAAATTCATAGTGACTTTTAACAGGTAAATCCATAAATGTTCGCATACTTGATTTACATCTTCCGTTCGAAGGAAACAAAAGTGACAGCTATAATGTTACAAGCTTGGTTGATTTTACTTACAACTTAAAAACCCATACTACAATCTTTTGAAGTATAATTATCTATTCTTCTGTTGTAATAGGCTTAAGCTTAAGCTAGTTAAGGCCTTACCAAAAGCCAGTGAGTCTTAAGAATATGATGGTTTAGGATGCATTCAGGTACCTGTAGAAATTAAACTACGCAAAACATCAAGATGCACGTGTTTTTAAAAACAGTCTACATAGGTGCCAGCAAAATTCAAGAAGGGTAGCATGCAGAAATCAAAAAATGAAAATAACACAGGAGAAAAATTCTTCCCTTACAGTTTTTTTTCTTATTAGAAGAATAATAGCCATCTTATAAAGTTAGAATTTATTAGTGACAAGGCACCTTGAAATTGAAGCAATAAAAACACAGTACAAGAACTACTAGGAAATCAACACAAACCTAAACTGATGACAGGCTTTCCAAATGTCAGTCCAAAATATTTTGGCTTAAGATCTCCAGAAGGGCTTTTAATTCAAGTCTTCCTCAGTCTTTGCTGTGGTGCTTATATAATGGTTGCTGTTGAAGATGTGGTCTGAGCCTGAAAACAATCATCTGGAGCTCATAAGCGGAATCCTCTTCTTGTGTCCTCAAGTTCCTGGATATGAGTCTGTGCTATAAATAACCCAATGCAACACCATTCATGTCCTCCTTAAGGACAGAAACATCTGCCTTTGACCCAGTATGCATCTGAGATTTGTTTGTTAGCTTTTACCCCAATAAAGATGATACAGGGAAATTCCCAGGACACCTTTCACTTACATTTGGTGCCATCAAAACACCTGGTCTGATACAGACTGGTTTTTTGTTATGTTATGAAGTTGTTTGTCTGCAACTGACACTAAAATCATTTGTCATTCTACTAACTCATCATTTAGAGTAGAAGTTAAAGAACGCTATGTATATGGCTATTTGTGACTTCACTGGAGGAATTCTAGTTTCCAGATACTTGAAAGATATATATAGAAAAGCAAGATACACAGATGATCGGAACTGTAAGAGTATAAAGTATTCTTTCATCTGAAGAAAACTATTTATATTAAAACAGTGCCTCTTACCATATATTCGACCCAGACACTCAGAAAATCATGCTAAACATGTTTTTTTCAGTAGAAGTTTCACTAAGCTTCTGTATAACATAATCATTGGGCATAAAGCGCACAAATTCAGTCAACTGAACCAGTTAATACTTAATCCTATGTCATTAAAGTATAATGTCATGCCACATATCACTGCTAGGAGTAATTTATGTTTATTCTGCCTCTGCTTGTCTAGCATCTACTCAGTCATTTCCTAAAAATGAAATAAAAAGTCTTAAACCCCTCCCCACAAAAAAACTTCACTGGTCTGCAACTGCCATCACAGTTATACAAGGCAAGAAAACAAAAGCCTTGAAGCTTCTGAAGAGAATTAAGACAGCACTCTTAGCCTTCTCCTTAGCCACAGAAAGTCAGCACTTTCAAGTAAGTGCCTCAACTCCCCTGTGCTGTTTAAATTGCCTGTCCTTTTTCCTACTTCACCACTTAATGGATTACATTTTTAATCATTAGTTACCTCCTCCACAAGTACCCAATTGTGGTTTAAAAGAATTACCAAAAAGTTTCATTTTTAATGCCCTTTTTTGTCTTCTGTAAAATCGGAAGTACAGGTAATTATTCTACAGGACAGTAAGAGTCCAAACACGGGAAGATGTTAAGACACCTACTGTTGAAAAACACAAAAATGTCCCTTAGGAAGCAAGACTGTCAGTTTCCATAAACACAATTTTTAAAAATATGCAAGCAAATATTGTGTTGTAGCAAGAACTTTTCAAGAGTATGTAAGAGGTGACCATCCTTCATAAAGCCTTTAAGGCTTTCTACAGAAACACAGTGAGCAACACTTCACAAAATTAAGACCATTACAGGGACAATGTTTACAAATTAATATCTTTTTGGCAACTACCTTGTTCTGTCAGTAATAACAAAGGTTGGGAGAAAACCCACACTGCAGTTCAGAAATCAGTAAAGTATTTTTTGAACTTTCTCCCATCCCATAAAAGCCTCTCTCTTTTGCCAAAATCAGAAACTCTCATATTTTACCCCTAAGGAAAACTAGAACAAGAAACACAAAGATTTTCCTATATATAATCATGGTTTCTATATCAAAACATGGTATTTCCTTCTGATTATTCTATAATATCACCTTGTTTTGCCAAGTAAAAACACTTTCTTACAGCCAGTGGAATTAAGTTAGTTACCCATGACATCCGTGTAATCCAGTATCTGTTTTCTAAATATGGACCTCTTTCCTTTGACTCTATCTCTTTTTGGAAGCAGCAGCAAACATTTTTAAGTAAAGTCGCAACCTTTGAATACCTGTAGATTTTTTTACCATCCCCTGTAGCTGGAGAAACAAAGCAAAACTGTAGTCATCCTTATACATGATGCAGGCAACGTCTTGAGAGGTCATCTAATACATCCTGATTGAGCAAGCCAAGAGCAAAGTACCGTCAGCCTTCCTCCACCTAAGGCAACTCCAACATATCAGCATAAATTAAATATACCTTTTCTCAGGGGTAGAAAGAAAGTAATTGAACAAAGCAGCAAGATAGTCAGGAATGAAAAGAAAAAATAAGAGAATGAAGGCCTCTTAAAGACTTTTATTATTATTTTATATATACAAAATTGCTTCATGCTCTTGGGCACAGAAATCACTGCTATGTATACCACAAATTCCTTTAATGAGAGACCTTTATGTCTCTAATAAGGAAGAATCAATTAAGGTAAATAAAACAACCTGCCAGCAAAACTCAGGTGAAAATACTTGTTTTCAGGAAGAACACAAAGGCCTTATCTGCAAATGCTTACAGAATGATTCTTGGTCAAAGCTTTGTGCAGAGCTAGCAGTGTCTGCAGGCTTCCACACACAAATAGGAGTATCTTACTACCAAACCCATAATTTGACCTTTTTAAAAGAGGAACTTCACCTCCTTCAGGATAACATGCAGTTTTCTGTCCCACAGCAAAGTCTCAGTGAAAGAGTACCACACTAGGCAAAAGCTACAAAAACTTCTCATCAATCCAAGCAATAAGATGGAAGTCTTCCTCACAGTTGGCATGCCCAACAGTTACTGGCAGTCTTAAGCTGCTTAGGTGACAAGACTGGGCTGAAGACCAAAACTCATCCTCATCATGTCTGTTACCTAGCAAATAACTGTTCCTTGCAGGTACTCCACCTTTGCTTAAGACTCTTCACCATTAAAATCAGAAAAATTTACTACACCTAAGAAAGGAAAACGCTTTCCTTTGGATCATACTATTCTTCTAACATCCTACTTAATATTATGACTGACTGTGCAAATTCAAAAGATAGCTGTCTTTTCAGGCATTACTTGGACTTTGTTTCACTTACTTAAAAAACAGACAAAACCCCAAACCAAACAGAAAGCTTCATGACACCGTTTTTGCCTCTAAGTCCTGTTGCATGAATTCAGGAAAAAAAAAAAATCTTACCCAAAATAAAAGACAACTGTAAATTAGCATATATTTTATATGGACAATGTCTTCAATCAAAGAAGTTATGGAACACTAATGAGTGGAAACACACAAACGTTACATAGTGGTTTCACATGCAACCAGGTCAACTGAAGATCAAAGTATTTTTTCCCCTTTCATCCCAGGTAGAGACACTGTTCCCACCAAAAATAAAAAAGACAGCCTTTGACAAGCACAGCAGTTGGTAAAACTGTAAATGCTAAGACAACGGTTTTTTCCAGCAAAAGATAACTTGGTTATGCCTTAATTTGCCTCTACATTCCAAGCAAACTCATTTATTCAGTGAGAGATGCACACTTTCAAGAGGAGGTGTAAGGCAAGATGAATCCTGCAGGAAAATTACTATAGACTTTAAAAGAGATTGAGCTTTGCGGGTTCAATCATTAGCACCAGTGGTACAATAGCAAGACTACCATATTCACCTACTACGCAAAACCGAAGAACTTTCCTGGTACCATGACAAACAGCCTAGAAAGTATTCCCAACTCCCACCCTCCCCCTTCAGAGTTTAGAATCCCTTCCAAACACTTTTCAGGAACCAGCCTTCTTCACACTTCTGAGACAGAAAAAGATAAGCACATTTAAAGGCCTTTGTTTTCAACAATGTTTGGCAGTCAACACAAATAAAGCAGCATAAGCCCCCATGATAATTTGCATGAGGTCACAGGACATGCCTAAAATGCAATCACACACCTTAAACAACGGCTGTCCCCCAACTCCTCATGCTATGCTTTTAGTGTCAAGTACTGGTAATTTTCTCACCAACTCCTTGTAAATGGGTATTTACAACGACCCTGAAACATGGTGTAGTTCTCACCGACACAAAGCAGTCTGACTTAATGCCGGCCCCATTCTTGAATCAATAGCGAAGTACAACCCCTCAGTAATCAACTATAGCACACCAGCCAGCAGCGGCTGGTGGCCTCCACTGGCAGACTCACAAGAGCTTCGTAAAGAGCTTCACGACCAAACGCGAGGATCCTTAACAACCCAAACCATCCTCAGAACGGCCGCACATAACTAATAAAAGTGCAGCGGCGGCTGCACCTACCGGCCTGCAGCCGGGGAGGAACTGCCAGTCCCTCCTCTGATGGGACACACTTCCCGAGCCGCTGCAGAGGCGGATAACCTCCTCCAACTCCTGGCTTTTCCTCCAGCCCGCCCCGCGAGGCGCCCTGCCACTCCCTCACCTGACGGCACCAGCCCAGCGCTCCGCATCCTCAGCCGTCACTCCCTCTCCTCTTTCAACCCCGGCGCTCTCCTCCGCCCCGCCCCGTGGCCGAACCTCGCACAGACCGGATGAGCAATGACCCTCCCCGGGGGGGCCCCCCCCCCCCCCCCGGTCTTTAAATGCCTCGCGGGCGCGCGCGCTCAACGGCCGCTGCTCGCGCTCAACGGCTACTGCTCGCGCGGGGGCGGTCCCTGTGCGCGCGCCTCACCTGACTCACTCTGAGCCCGGCGCGTGCTCCGCCTCCCCGGCGCGCGCCCGCCCGCCCTCCCGCCCGCGGCGGCAGTGGGCCGGGCCTCGGCGCCGGGCAGGGCCTCGGCTCCGCGCGGAGCCATCCGGGTCTCGTCCGCTCGCCGCCGGCAGCGCCGCGATGCATCTGCACCAGGTGCTCACCGGCGCCGTCAACCCCGGGGACAACTGCTACTCGGTGGGCAGCGTGGAGGACATCCCCTTCACGGTAATGCTGGCGGTGCGAGATGAGAGCCGGGCTGGACCAGGGAAGGGGGTTGTCGTGTAGGCCCGAGGAGAACGGTGGGAGGGGCTGGAGGGGATCAACCTGCGGGGGGGGGACGGGCAGGATCTCTGCGGCCGTTTTACCGGGGTTGGGAATACCGAGGTGGGGAATACCGGTGTGGCTAAAGCGGGGATTATAAATGGCGGGGCGGGGCTGTGACAGCCGGCATGTTTATGGGTGGGGTGCAGGCCGCGACCCCGCCGCCTGCGGAGGGCCGCGCTGCTCGTCCCTCCCGAGTGCCACCGCTGGGGCGGGCCGGGGTCCGCTGGTGCGCCCGTCCTCTCTGGCGAAGGGCTCTGGGGATGCTCCGGGTTCGAGGAGGGACCTGGGAAACCCCGAGTCGGGCGTCCCCAGATCTTGATGTGTGCTTGGAGGTTTGTGTGTGTGTGTGTGTGTGTGTGTGTGTGTGTGTGTGTGTACGATCCTCCTGCGAAGAATAGTGTTGCACTAGGCTTTTTAAGAAGCCTGTCCACTATTGATGAGCGTCTGGCTTCAATTACTGTGGTTAATAAAACACAAATTTGTCAAATGGTCCTTTTAAACTGGAAGCGGAAAGAAATTGAAGGAAATACACTAAGTAAATTTCAGGATTCCAGTAGTTTACATAATAAAATCTGTTTACCATCCACTAGCTATTTTTGTCTATTTCAATGTTAATTTCCACTTTCTCAGTTTATGATTTGCTTCTCTGACTCTCAAGAGTGATGAGCCCCTGCAGTGTTTTTCATACTGTGGTCTAATCAGTATGTTATTATTTGGGAATAAACTGTCTCATTAGGTTTTTTTATTAACATTTACAAGACTATATCCCAAGCACAAACCAATTCCCAGCTAAATGATACAGAGCATCACTTAGTCTAAGATAACTGTCAGCAGACTTGTCAAACATTTAAAGCTTACTTTAGATCATCACAGATTTCTAATTTCAGTAATGAATGCTTCAGAGTCTTTAGGAGAAAAAATAGGTGCCATGTCTGTGTTTATTTTCCTTGTTCTGGTGCTATGCAGCCATACTGCTGTTAAAGGGACCTCTGTTACCTTTTATATTTATGTAAGAAATAATTTACTCATATTCATATCTTAATATGTTTCTTTGTACTGTGATAATTTGAAAAGTCAGCTGTCTTCTATTACGAAAGACAGCCTTCTGCTTATTCTTATAATGTTGTATATATTTTATAACATCTATAATGAATAATATATATTATTGTTTACACAAGAATTACCCAAGAACAAAAGTCACATTTTACAAAAAAAGTAATGCAGAATCATTTGGTAGCATGTTAATTTTGGAACTGTATATAGCAGACCTCACTGTCTTCTGTGGCTGCTGCATCTGATTTTTTATTATACAGTAAAGAAGGAACTAAAAGGATAAGATTATCTTAATAAATGTATATTCTGGATTTCCACAGCTGTAATGTTGTTCTTCCCTTTTCTTCTTTCTCTGTGGTATTATTTACTGCTGAGCTAGACCTTGATCCTATAGTAAACAGTATGGCTAAAAACATCTGCTTGCAAACAGTTTGGGGTCTTATATCCAAATTCTTGGGAAATTAGTCACCTAGGTGACTCTCAGTATCTTCAGTCTACCCTCAACTGCAGGTGTCACCTTTGTTAGTGCCTAACCTTAAATTCTGTTGGTCAACATCAGTAATGCTGTATTGACATAGCTTTGGGGGGGGGCCCCCCCAGAAAAACCATTAAGCTGTTTGGAGTCATAACTTCAGGTCATGAAGCAGGATTTGCAGTTTAGAGATTATCTATTCGTGACAGGGTCTGATTGTCTAGATGTGCTCTTTAAGACCCAGGTCAGCCTCTAAGAGCAGAAGCAGAGCAGTGAAGGGAGATCTACACAGTATGTGCTGTACTTTATGAATCCAAGTGAAGTTAGGCTGTGGCAGAGGAGCCTTTGTTTGTGTGCATGTATGCTTGCTTGTGTTTTGGTTGATGTTAGAGCATTCATTTAAAATGTGTGAGAAATAGTTCAGAATTGATGCAACTGATTCATCATAGGGACTAGAAAATACAGCTTTTTGTGTGCAGAAATGAATCACTCATGTTGAAGTTACTCCACTTAACAGAATAATGCCTTGGGTACACGTAAATATGCATTTGCTATTTGATAGTTTGGGATGTATTTCCTTCCCACCCATCCCGCCCCCTTTTTTTTTTTAGGAAGAGGAGAAAGGCCTTATGAACTTGCTTTATTGCTTTAGGTGCAAGCAATCTCCAACAATCTTAGGATTCTGAGAGAAGGAACACATATTTTTTTTTTGTCCTAATTAGGGACCCTGCAATTCTGAAGGTTGTTCTTCATCCTTCCTTTTTTCTATGGTAAGCTTTTAATTTCCAAGTCAGTGTAGCTAGAACTAAGATGAGGACATGTTGTGCCTCAACTTTTTTAAAACTTTGGTGAAAGTCATCTAGTTATTCTGAGAATAAGAAAAGGAAAAGAAATAATTTTGCCCTTAATTTTTCTTTACTCGCTAAACCCCAAGTAGTGGGGTGACTCCATAAGCAGAACAAATCCAGAGAAACAGAGACAATTGCTGTAAATTGGAGAAAAAGTTTTTGTCAGTCCTGTATCTGAAATGTACATAGTGTTCTTTCCTTCCTGTGCTCTCACAGTCTGCCTGCAGCAGTCCTGACATGTGTCAAGCATTTCCCAAATAAGGGGTGAGGCATAGAAATGTTTGGTTAATAAACTGGCTTGTGGATGTTATAGCTGTATTGTGCCCAGTCTAGTAGGGAAGGAAGTACACAGGGAAAAAAAGGTTTGAAGGGCAGTTAGAAGAAAAATAGCTTCACAGTGTTATGCTCTACCAAGCAGTCTCTTCAGCCTCCCCTCATCTGAGCTCCAGGAAGGACACTGCATAATAAGGGTTTAAGTACTAAATGAAAGAAGTTCTGGTAATAATCCTGTGCACTACTCAACTTGCTGTTACTTCATGTTCTCTTTTCAGTAAATATTGTTAACTGTGTTTCACAAGCGAGTTTACAAAAGGTCAGAGTTGAGCTTTATACAGAAGGGCCTCACAGCAGACCCTGCCTAGACAGAAAGGGTATCTTGTTTGAACCTCATAGTCTAACTGGCAGCTAACAACTTTTTAGAGGTAGTAAACTGCTTTTCTCAAATCACAGTTGATTTTGCTTAGCTCTTGTTGTTAAGCAGCTGTTTTATGTTGAGCTGCTTCCAGTCACTGACCTTAAATCCAAGTGGGACGTATGTGACCAGTCTGACTTTCTGTGATGTGGAGTAAGGTGTTTTCAGATAAAGACGATGAGCTGTTCTGATTCTGTTTGAATGACTTCTGCCCTTTGTCCAAGCTCAGGGTTGGTTTTCCCTCCCCCTGAAACTCTGAACAGAATATGTAGCTGTTTCTAAGGTCAATCTAGGTTTGAAAAAATAATAATAAAAAAAAATCCATAAATATGGCAGTTATCTGCAGGCTAGATCCTATAAATATAAAAATTCCAAGCTCCCACAAACAGAAGATTAATGAATACTTGCCCCTTGTAAAAGGTAAATATGGAATGCTAAACACTGATGAAAAATCAGAATGTTGGATTTTAGACGTACCTTTACAGAAGAACTTTGCTGATAGAAGGGTAACCTTTTCTTTCAGCTTTAAAAAGGACAAGCTTCGTGGCAGCTTCCATGCCAGTACTAACACTTGGCCTGGACCTGCGTGTAATGCATTTCAGAAGCTGTTATTGTAATTGAAAACAGCAAATTCTTCATCCAAAGCATTATGTCCACAAAATACAGTGAGTAAGAATAGGTTTCTTCTGCTGTGTAGGGTTCTCCTCTACTTCATCCTTCTTGAAAAAATACTTATTAAAACCCTTATTTGTAGATCCTTGTCATTTATCTATTATACTTATATATATACACCTGTACATAGAATCGTAGAATGATTGCAGTTGGGAGGGACTTTAAGATCATCTAGTTCCAAACCCCCTGCCATGGGCAGGGTTGCCTCAAACTAGACCATGTCACCTAAGGCTCTGTCCACCCTGGCCTTGAACACTGCCTTGGATGGGGCATTCACGACTTCTTTGGGCAATCCATTCCAGTGCCTCATCACCCTCTGTCCTGGGTTCAGCAGTAGCAGCGTGCTGGACCCATAACCCAGAGGTCGATGGATTGAAACCATCCTCTGCTACCACCAGTAATAATAATGATAAACGAAATAACAAGGGAAGAGAGTACAACACCTCAGCACCAGCCGACCGATAACTCGCCCCCCCAGCCCACCCAAGCACCAACCGATATTTCCTCCAACCCTGCAGTCTCTCACCCTTCCAGGTCACTCCCAGTTACATCCAGGGCATGACATGCTGTGGTTATGGAATACCTCTTGGTC